GTTTCATCCTGACCTACACCTACTTCCGCATTCCGCTGCAGCAAAAGACAACCTTGATGTATCCCGATCTCGGAAGTGGCACCTCTTGGAATATATCCTCGTCAGGCTGCGTGACCAACAGAACGTGCTGATGACAAGGGAGGTGCCGATTGCCGACGAGTGGACCGATCGCCGTCTCGTCATCTCCAAGATGAAGATCCGCCTTTACCCACGCAGGAGACCCCAAGGTAAGCGACCCCAGGTAAATTGATACTGCTTTGTTAAATTTGTCTGCTCACCATTTGCATTTCAGCAGTGAGCTGGCTCGACGGCTAGACAATCCTCAAGTCGCAGAGAAGAACGCCTCCATAGAGAGCCGATGGTGTCAGCTACGGGGTACTGCTCAATCCACCGCTCAGCGTGTTCCTGGCCGCGCACGGCATCAACATCAAGATTGGTTCGACGAAATTGATGCAGTCATCAGCAACCTTCTCGCCGAAGAGAACCACCTGTACAAGGTCTATGTTGACCGCCCTACCGATTCCACAAAGGCAGCCTTATACCAAAGTCGTCGTCTTTTGCAACAGCGGCTGAGAGAACTGCAGAATGCTTGAATGGCTCGCAAGAGTGAGGAAACCCAAGGTTACGCGGATCGCAACGAACGGCAGAACTTCTTCGCTGCAATAAAGGCTGTCTACGGTCCTACAGTCATAGGTACAGCTCACCTTCTCGGCGCTGGTGAGGCTAACTTTCTCACTGAGAAGATACAGATCCTGTAACACTGGCCTGAACACTTCCAAAACGTACTCAACCGCCCCTCCACCATCTCCGAAGCCACCATCGACCGTCTGCCCCAGCTGAAAATCAACACCGACCTCGACCTACCACCCATCCTTCAGGAAACTAACAAGGTCTACAAACACAGCGGCCACCAGCTTATATTCTACCTAGCCACGCTATTCCAGGGGATGTGGCAGCAAGACAGGTCCCCAGAACTTAAAGTACGCCACAACTGTTCACTTGTACAAGCAAAAGGGGAACCGCCAAATCTGCAATAATCATCGCGGTATATTGCTGCTCAATATCGCCGGCAAAAACTTCACACCCGTTCTTTTAAACCGTCTCAACAACCACCTAGAACAAGGACTCCTGCCGGAAAGCCAGTGCGCTGTTTGTTGTCATCACTGACACCACTGACATGCTGTTTGCTGCTCGTCATCTGCAGGAGAAGTGCCAATAGGTGTACACTCCCCTCTACACTATATTCGTGGACCTAACGAAAGCATTTGACATGGTGAATCGCACTGGACTTTGGAAAGTCATGCAGAACTTTGGCTGTGCCGAGCGCCTCGCGCACATGGTATGTCGGCTCCATGGTGGGATGATGGCGTGCGTACCGGACGACGGGATGGTTTCCGAAGCCTTTGCAGTAACCAATGGAGTGAAGCAGCGCTGTGTCCTCGTGCCTAATCTCTTCAGTCACATGTTCTCTGTCATACTGATGTATGCCTACCGTGACGAGCGCCCCGGGATTAACATCAGCTATAGAACGGCAAGGGGAATCTCTCAACATCAGACGTATGCAGGTCCCCAAGCACGTCTCCATGACCACAGTTCATGACCTGCTGTTCGCGGGCGACTGCGCTCTCAACACCACAACCGAAGCGGACATGCAAAGGAGTATGGAACTCTTCGCCGCAGGTTGCGCAAACTTCGGTCTCAAAATGAACACGGATAAAACGGTGTTCATGCATCAACTGCCACCGGGTGCTGACTATAATGCTCCTCGTATTAATGTCAACGGCGCCGAGCTCAGTACGCTATCCCGCAACAGCAGAATCGATGACGACGTTGCTCGACAAATCTCTAAAGCCAGCCAATCATTCGACCGGCTACAAGTCTCCGTGTGGAACCGTCACGTTCTCCAGCTGCCCAGAAAACTGAAAGCATACAAGGCCGTCGTGCCCACGACACTCCTGTGTAGAGC